AAGGAAGGCAGAGAGCAAAACCCAAGCCTCCTGACACCCCTCGTGTGCCCGAGGCCCTGCGCTACGTGTGTTAAGGAGAGCCAGAAGGGAGAAGGTGCAAGGGGATGTGTGTGTGAGGGGAGAAAGGGAAATGAAGGTGATGGTGACTGTGTCCATAGGGGTGAAACAAACTCCAGCGCCTGCTGCGGAGGCACATAGGAGACCAGGGACACCCAAGAAATGGCTTTCAGAAGGAGGGGACAGCCAGCCAGGGCTCCCCTGGTGAACGATTTCTCGTTTAATGGACAGTTTGGCACTAATCAATATTTGTTTGTGGCATTATCTCCAATTCGCTAAGGTCCTTGCTGCTTTTTGCCTTCCCTCGCTGGTTAACTGCCTCCTTCTCACCCGAATCTCCCCAGGGAGCGCAGCGGGGCAGGGGCTGGAGCAGCAGGGGGCTGGGGACCAGACTGTTTGAAGAGTGGGAGAGATGTGGGGCGATGCCAGAGGCAGCAGATGTCGGTGGCCAGGCCTTTTGTTCCCTGCACTCACCAGCCTCAGCTCTGGGACCACCTTTTTGTTTTTGTCTTGCCATTGTCATTCACCAAGGAAGGGCTTTTCAGGACTTAGCCTCACAAACCCTCATCTCTCTCCCCATCTCTCTCCTCACCACCCCAACAAGACAGCCAAGATTGCCCTCATCCTCCGGTTTCTATTTAGATCACTTTCTATTTAACATTTTAAAAACCCTAACTCAGTTAATGCAAAGCACTTAAAATCAGCCGGTGTCTTACAGGGCTGATTAGTCCCAATAGCTTGACTTGCTGCTCCCCTTGGCAGAAGCGTTTTTAATCCTAGTTAGGAGAAAGAAGAGACAGGCTGCACAGGTCAGGTACAGTTTCTGCAATCCTTTGGCTTGGGGGATGCAGTGAGAATGGGCTCCCAGGAAGGGAAGCCATGCTACAGCCACGGCTTAAGCCAAACCAAGTGAGAAACGTAGGTAAACATTTCACATAGTATATTACTGTAGTCACCGTCACAGAAAATGTGGCTGTCGTCGTGTATTTGGTGATGGCAAGAAGGTAACAGGCCAGACGGATCTAGTCCAGCAGGCAGATCCACAGACTGGTCAGCTGTGGGAACGTCCTGCTCTCCTTGGACTCAGGTCAGGAATGGCTCGCAGGAGCGTGGGGTATCGTGGTGTCCACTTGGGAGGCACACAGCAGCTGGGGCTTCCCAACGAAAGGACTGGGCTTGATCACAAACATCCTCCCTTTTATTGAACTCATAGCACAGTATCCTCCATGCAAGTGGTTTTCTGCACCGCACACTCATCCCCGAAACCTGCCACGTGAAAAACACCCGGTGTGCATGTGCACTCCCTCCCTCCTCTCCCTTCTTACCCCTGTACAGATACCCAAAACCCCCCTGAGCCGGCCAGAGTTGCCCACTCACCGCAGCCTCAGAAGGTGTGAGTAAAGGTGCAGATCCCCGGCGAGGGAAACATAGAATCATCAGCTCACTGGATGCAAACAGGGCACCCGCACACTACAGGGGCATTCCCTAATCTAGCTCCCCCCTGCTCCATTTCTCCCCACCCTGCTGTGAAGTGTGCTGCTGGTCAAATGCCACTCCCACTGCCCCCCTAGCCCCAGCCCCAGCCCAGCTGGGTCTCACTATTCAGCAGGGAGAGGGGATACTATAGGGTAGTTAAATGTTATAGGATAGGTAGTTAAATGCCTTTTTTAGTGCTCAATCCGGATCCATCATCTTGCTTGCAAGTGGGAGTGAACTCAATCCAGAACTGAATGGCCTCAGCTTCCATGAACTATTGGGACACTTAAGGGCCAATCCATCAAGACACTGGGTGCCTTTGACTTCTAATGCAGTCAGCCCTACCCAGCAGGACAGGACTGTAATTCCCAGTAAAAGACAGTTTGAGCCTGTAATGACTTACAAACAACCCAGAAAACACCCTTCATTCATTTGCTAGTACCAAAAATTACACCACTTCAATGCATCGGTCAGAAAACAACCTATAGCCCATTAGTGTACAGTGCAGCCTCCAATAATTTATTTTCATCCTTTCTATGAATCTTATTGTAATAGTCTTAATAATAGGCATCAAAATTTACATATACAGGTTTAATGTGCAAGACAACCAGTACCTTTAATCAAATACAAGTGAATCCTTCACAGACTGTTTTACGGAAAACTCATCCAAATACTGTAGAACGGTGTTAATATTTTAATAGAAAATATTTGGGGATTCTTCAAGCAGAAGAAAATGCACACAGCTAAAAGCACTTCAGAAGATCCACCACTTAAATAAATAACCTTCATTCACAAGAAACAAGATTACCTGTGTGGGAAGCTAACCATGCATTTCATAGCACTTACCTATTTGTAACATTTATTTCATTACTGGGTAATTGATGATTTCACCAAATCCTGAGTTATTTATGAGACAGAACCAGCAAAGCCTTCATACACAGAATTCACATTTCCTTTGGCCAGGGTTCTGTATACCAGGGAAAAAACACCTCCATATGAGCAGGCAGCTGGAAGATAGGTTCAGTTCCCCCACCTGTACTTTGGTATGGTTTGTAGACATAAATATTGTGCTAATTTTCTGCTCAGGAGTGAGTTTTACCTATTTAGAGCTCACCAGTCCAGCCCTCAATATGTACAAAATTCAGACTGCTGTGTTATAGGAATCTTTGATATTAAAATGATTAAAAAAACCCCAACAAAATGTGATCTTCATTCTACCATAAAACCTACAGGTATGTACAATACTAATGGCTTGCTTGTTTCATATACTGCCTAGTGCTGGGACTCAATATTTTACTTACAATTAAGTAGTTCTATAAATATTTTATTTTTAATATTTTTACCATGAAAACAATGAGGATAGAGCAACTTAAGGTACAATAAATCATATAAAATTAGTGCAAATCAACAGATATTTATACAGTATCTGCATGACATAATTAAATGTGCAGGTAACATTTTTTTCTAGTTCTAGGCTGTATTTAAAGAGATTGTAAACATTGGCATAAAATAAAAACTTTTATCTCTGATACTTTTGTGCAAAGTCCTTTTTAATCCTAGCTGATCTAGGATATTAAGAGAACCTCATCAGCCCTGTAACAACAAATTGTCTGAACTGTTAACTAGCTCCAGCAAGGGCTTCCATTATCCCTCCTGGAGGTAACACACAGCCCCACTGACACAGGGACCCCCTGTCAGATGCACAGTCCTCTCCCCATTGCGCTGATCACTCAAGTGATAAATGGCTTCTGCACCAGCTACAGCACTCCCGATACTCAGTGGTCCTTCAATATAGGCTTTTTGCTAGGCCTCCATCAAGATGAGATTTCACATTGCCAGGCAATGCTGTTCATTAACGTTTTTGAAAACACTTTGCAAAACTCAGGGTCTAATTACCTAGGATTTTACATTGAAATTCCTTTATCCGCTGCAATATGCACTTGAGACAGTTTTGATCTGGGCCAAAGTTTGTTCATATGCAAGGACAGGATGTCTGAGGTGTTATTCTGAGACCTTCTCAAAGTCAGAGTGCAAAAGAAACAAAACCAACTTTCAAGAAAAGGATCCCAGCGTACATCTTCTCAGCTACGGATAAATGAGCAGCAATTTCTATAGAAAAAAAACATTTTTATGAACAAATACTTCCATTTTGCTAAAAAGAAATCAACAGAAAACCTGCACAAATCACTCCTGAATTGCTCACATGGTCAGCAAGAAATGGAGGGTGAAACCCTCCAGTCGTCCCATGGAGGCTTAGGCATTCCAGCAGGCTGGGAAGGGAATGTCACGTGCAGAGCTTTGGGGCTGAGAAGTCCTGCCGTTGTCTATCCTACACCTCAAATCTTAAATTTAGGATAGGGGAAGGGTTTCCCTCTTCCTAAACAGAGATATCTTAGCTGATTTTAAAACCTTTGTGCCTTGAGAACTAGTATATGGTGCATTTTTAAAAGCATTCAAGAGCAACACTGCAGCAGCCATCCTATGTAGAGTCAGCAGAAGGAAGTGGAGGAGCCCAGCCTTCATGTCAAGACTCTCTGCAAAAGGCCTGCCTGACCGCACCTCCCAGTAGTGGCAAATTTCTAGACAAGAGATGGTTACAGGACAGAAGAGTCCAGTGGTGGGATCGTGCTTGCTCCTGGCCTGTGCCAAGACCACTTGACTGTTAGCAGTCCACCCAAGAGCTCACTGGTGCTTGGCAATGTCTTCATGGTTGGTCCTCTAAACTATGAGAAGGCAGAGCCCACCTCCAATATCTCTGCTAGGCCTGGAGCTATTTCATCTCACACTGCCCCTGGGCTATCTGAGGTACAGCATCTTCTAGAAGAGTTGGTCTCTCTGTCCTTGAGCTCCCCATGGCTTTCCTGGCAGCTGAACAATGGAATTTAAATACCCCCATGCTGGTCCACCAGTCAGTGGTGGGCTGAGCATCTCTGAGGCAGTTCACATTCAAATAGAGTCATTAGAAGACTTGCAAGTTAAGGGGAAGTAGACTCCATACCTGGTCATGCACAGAAACAAAACAAATAGGTTAAACGCTTTGGGAAATGCACTTGACCCTCACACAAGCTCTGGTACGGACAGCACCAGGCAGTCCACAGACATGGTGCATTAGAGGTACGGAAACACTCCTCACAGTGTTATTTGTGCACAAAAGGTTCATGGGAGGTGAAATTCCCTTCTGTCAGTGTTTCCCTTTTGTGGAAATTAGGGTACAGGAGGAGAGGAAGGAAAAGGTGAGGTAGCGCATGTTGGACTTCATCCCAGTGTGCCATCAGGGTACCCAGGAGAGAAACTCCTGTCCCCTGCACTCAGAAATATGCCCAGGGTCCAGAGACTGGACATACCCAAAGAGTCACCGCGAGAGTAAATGTCATCTCTTGTGACGTGGACGCAGCCACGCACAAACACAAGCACATGGACTCATACGCACACGAGGCTGGTCCGGGACGCGTCCGTGGGGCCCTTGACTAATGAGCGGCGTGAATCTTCATGTGGAAGTGACAATCCTCCTGCTCGGGGAAGTGCTGGCCGCACACGGAGCAAGCGCAGCCCTTCTCCCTGCTGTGCGTGCGGCGCACGTGGCTGTCGTGGGCTGCGTGCGAGGCGAAGGCTTTGCCGCAGTGCTTGCACTTGAAGGGTTTCTCCCCGGAGTGCTGGCGGATGTGGGTGCGCAGGATGCTGGAGGCTGTGAATGCCTGAAATGACGAAGAGGAGTTGGAAGTAATCTATCTTCACATGTGTAACCCCCAGGTTCAACCAACTCAGGCTCCATCAGAAGCACTGTACCCTGAAAATAAGTCCTCACATCCTCAGATAATTCTACGATTCTACAATAGCTGGAGAAAAAAAAACACAAAAATTCCCTGCAACGAGGAACCAGAAGCCAACAGCTGTCACACTCAACTATACAGATACAACTGGGCTGAGTCCATGGACTTAGATGAAGCTCAGAGAAAGATTTCTGACCAGAGACACCAGTAAATATCTTCTACATGTCAGAGGATAATAAGTCAATACTGTTCTAATTAGCTTTGCAGCTCCTTTATGTTTGAGAGACATAATGCAGGTTCATTTTCGGAGTTAATCTCTTTCATGTTTATATACACACTGGCTCAGGATTCAGCTGCCAGAATTCTTCCATGCAGACAGTCCAGCATCTATCTTTTCAGGTTTCATTTCCCCCCTCCGTCATACTCTGCTCTTCCTTCAGTCAGACATTCCAGGCTGTTTCCCCCCTCACAAGTAGCAAAATGTTCACAGTCCCACTTTGTTTCCCTCATAAAGACTCCTCCTGCATTTGGGGAGAAAACCCTCTCACTAAGACTTGAGCAAGAACATTGTGCAGTAGCCAGTGTTTTCCCTGTTTTTTCTTTTCCCAAGAGAGACACTTTCAAGCTCTTCACTATTTGCAGAGGACACACACACAAAAAAATTCCTCTTTAGTGCTGTTACATTGCTGAACCATCACAAATTAAGATTTCACAGCCAAGAGTAATACATCTCAGATACCTTTTCAGAGGAACCTAGGAGCACAAACAGATCTGAGATTCCTATAGAGAAGTCCCTGGAGATGTTTATCAACCAGACCAAAGTGTGTTTGAGGGCCAGGATGGTGATCTCAGTCCTAACACCTTTCCTTTAATCCCATGATGTCACCAAGATAGCGAGCAAAGGGGCAGGGAAAGCAAAGCTGCCCTGAAGCACAGCCACTGTTAGAGGTGGAAGAGGCAAAGACAAATTGTGACTGTGTAGGAGGAGCAGGTGAGGATGCTTTAAAATAACCCCTGGTTTCCCAGCCCCAGAAATGATGGCTATGTCCCAGGATAGCTGAAGCCTGAAGACTAATGGTTTAATTGGATCCAATCTGATTCTTCCTACCAGATCAGCTAGAGGATGATCAACGGTCCCATACATCCTAGAGATCTGTTCACAGAGGAACCTGTAAAGCTCTGTCATCTCTTCCTGTGATCGGAAGGTGTTTCATCCTAAACTCTGCCTACAAGTGTTCAGGATGTCTGGGAAAAAAAAATATAATAGCCAAAAGGAGCTTCTTCTGAGGTTCTCAACTACAGGACACTTCAGCTCTGTGTTAGTCCAGCCAGTCATGAACAAAACTTCTCTTTCTCCAAAATCAAGAGCATGTTAATGCATGCTGAGGGTACTTCTGCATTGCATGGACTCCACAGCACGTGAAGCCCTACCAATGTTCAGCCAGCAGCAGCCTGTACATCCAGTCTCAGTCTGCTGAGAGAGCCGTCACTGCCCTCACAGGGAGAGGCCACCTGAATCATCCCTGCTGTGAAGGGTAGTAACAGCTGAGCATGTTTTTGATCAGTGCTATACGGCTCCATTCATGTTCTTTTCCCAATGAATCTCCCCCTTCATTGCACATTGATTGTCCCTTTACTTCAAGGTGAGTATGCACAGTCATATCATTCAGGTTCAGTTTCTGAGCCAGACCCGTTCACCGCACTCAGAAGCAGTGCCAGTAACATAAAAAACTACCCATCATCTGGTGGAAAAAGGGGAATATTGGATCTAGCTGTGTGCCTTGGATGGTAATTGAAATGCTCTCAAGCTTTCCTAGACCTTATCCCCGCAGCAGCTCTCTGAGCTGGGACAAAACAGCAATTCCACATCAGATGGAGAGCAGACCCTGTTTCTTCAAGTCTCAGCCAGCCCTGACACTTCTACTCACAACCATGCCCAAAATATACACTCACTCTTATGGTTATCAACTTAAATAGAAGACATTTTCTTAAAAGAAAAATTGGAAAAAGAAAACGGAGCATGGAAAGAGCCACCCGGCCTTGCAGGTGCTGTGATGCTGAGCGCAGCAGAGGACAGACAGACAGACAAGCCGAGGCTTCGTTTTACCTTGTTGCAGTAGACACATTTGTAGGGGCGCTCCCCGGAGTGAACCCTCATGTGTTTGTTCAGGCTGGAGGATTGAGAAAAGCTCTTCCCACACACTGAGCACTGAGGGAAGAGAAAAAGTGGGGATAAAGTTAAAAGGAAGCACACAACAGCATAGCTGAAAAGAAAAGTTTGAGATGTGGTATGCATGTATTTTCCTACATATATCTATGTATATCAGTATATTTTTATATATACATATGTATTTATGTATATACAAACAGTAGTAATTTAAGTAGCAACAATTTGAAATACAGTCAGAATTTTAATCTAAAGAAGTTTTTTTTTAAAAAAAGAAAGAAAATAATGAAAAGGAGAGGAGAGGAATATTTAATACCTCATATTTAACAGAACTGTATTTTTCATCTGCTACTAAATCAGTGACATTCTGACATTGCAATATTGCCGATGTAGTTACAAAACCAGTGCTACAGAGAGGCGTTCAGTAGTGATGAGACAAGTATCTCAGCAGGGATTTACTTCCATCAATCAAAAATCTGCTCCACTTTGAATGTAAAACTTTTAATCCCCGTTGTGTTCAACAGACACAGATGTCTGTCAGTTCTCAGGCTGAAAGGGGGGAAGTGAGGGACACGGGGTCTTTCCTGATCCTGTACATGTGGAGCACCTTCAAACCCCATTTAGCCCTACACTGTATAAGAAAAGCAGCAAAGCCCACATGTGGGGGGGGGGAGGGAAAAGCCCGGGATAACAATATTTCTGTTATTTCTTTTCTAAGTCTCACTGAGATGGCGGGGTTAATTTTCCTGATATAAATCCATTTAATTTTTCCAGCTGATCTCTGCTGCACAAGAAAAAACTCTTCCTGTCCCATCAGGGAAGTGCCAAGGAAACTGGAGGAGGGGGAACATCAGCATCTTACCTCGGCCGAAAACCCCTCCATCAGTCCCCACAAAAGAACAAGTAACTGCGGAGAGACCATGGGGAGCAGGCTCACCTTGTGGGGTCGGTGCTTTTCGTGAACGTGGAGAATATGGATCCTCAGCCTGTCTCTTTTTTCGAAGGATCGGTTGCAAAGGTGACAAGGAAATTTGCGGTCCCCCTGGTCCACGCAGCGAGTGTACTTGAGGTGCTTGTCCCGGTAGTACTTGTAGGCAAAGACCTTGCCGCAGCGCTCACACTTAAAGCTCTCCCCGGCTTCTGTACAGCAGAAGGGAAAGTGCCCCCGCTCCGTTATACCACAGCATAAGGGGCTCGGTTCAAAGCTGCTTCCTGGTCCCAACTGGGGATTTTAAGTCTCCGGGAGGGTAATAATGGCAAATGGATTCTGGCGATATAATTAACAAAATACACGTCGGATCTCACAAGCACACACACCGGTCGCTCGCCTTTCTAACGGAGGGGGACAAACTAGAGTCCACAGCCTGATAAAATTGTTTGGTTTAGCTACCGACTTCAACAAAGACAGGATTTCATCCTTGCACTCTCATAAAAAGTGCGTGAGCATACGAAAAACGAACGCAGATTCCCAGATTAAAAGCGTCTCCCAACAGAGAAACATTACCAGATATTTATTAGCAACACTGTCCGTAAATTTTACCTCCCATCCCAAAAAGAAAAATAAATTTGCACATCTTTTCTATCGTTTTCAAAATAATATCGAACGAAACAGCATTTTATTTAATTTTCTTTTTGTATTTCAAACTGTTCTTGATCGCTGGATTTAGGAACAACATGGGAAATTTTTCAAACGTTTACATATCCTTTTCTGTCTTTAATAAAAGTAACTTTGGCTTAAGCCTTAAAATAAAATTAACAATTTACCACCCATCTGAGCCAGGCACCTTAAGAGAACAGCTACGAAAATTTCCGCGCCAATTTGCCAAACGCTTCTGTCCCTCAGAGCTGCACCAAACCGACCCGTTCCTCACCCGCTCCGGCTTTCCCTGCGCTGGCACAAATCTGTTTTCTCCATACGTGAGTTTTGCTTACAAGAACGTCACGCCTTCTGCGCGTTGTAAGCAGAACTACTCCCGAAGTGAGTGCATTTGGCATTTTTTCCTCAAGTAATACCGGCATTATCGGATTCGAACGACTTCAAGCTGCGAGAGTTAATCGCATGAAAAATATCGTGAAGACAAGTATGTGCAATAGTAGGATAAAACAGGAGCAAACCAGAAATGCTTCCAAAAAGCCCCTTTCCTCCCAAAACGCGAGCCGGGGACCACCCGATGTTTTACAATCGTTGGACGAACACTTCGCTAACTCCCCGAGGAAACGCGAACTAGGAGCACGCTGCCGGGGCAGAGAGGGGTGCCTCCCGCTCCGAGCTGGCAGCAGCCCTGGATGCAATCCCCGGGATCCCCCGGTGCCAAGGGGAAGCTGCTCTTTGGGGTGCTGGAGACTGCAAGCGCAGCGAGGCGGAGGGCGAGAGCGGGGAGACCTGTGGCACCGGGGCCACCGCCACCCCAGAGCATCCCCCGCGGCAGGGCCGGTCACCCCGCCACCGGCTAACCCCGGGCACCGGGAAGCGTTGAAAGTAAAATACAGCCAGGAAACTGTCACGCCTTTACGAGTCCCTTTACCTCCCTTAATGAGAATCTAATCCCGGCCAGACACGGGTTCGTGGGAACTGGGGGCAGTGCCCCTGGAGGGATGGCTGGCAGGCTCACCTTCGGGGTGCTGCGGGGGTCTCTTCCCCTCCGGAATGCCCTTCAGGCTGACGGGGATGCCCAGGAACTGCACGTAGCAATCGCCGTACCACACCAGCAGCTCCTGCTTTGGTAAGATTTCCTTGCAGCTCTCGTAGAAGATTTGCCCCTGGCACTGGATCGCCGTCAAATTCTGCTCCTCGGGGAACCTGGCGCAGTTCACCAGGGACATCCAGTTGCCAGACGCGCCCTTCCCGTCTATGAAGTGGCTCAGGCGCCCGTATTCAAAGATCTGGAGAGCACCGAGAACCGGATCAGGTTTGCCCGACCCTTCCCGCACAAGTCCCGCTCGCACTAATCCCGCCACCCGC